AAGAAGGGATGAATGGGTCTCAGGATGGCCACATCCCCTTGACCCGAGCCCTCCTGCCGCGCTCTGCTTGGGGACTGTATTCACGATCAGGACTTCTAGTCCCAGAGAACGGGATCCTCCGGGCGAGAAGGGAATCACCGCGTTGGACCGTCTAAGTGGACGCAGAACCCGCTCACGGAGCGGCACGGGCGCCACTTGGCGGCGGAGTCCTGTAAGTGCCGACGCCAGACCCGAAACGTTCGCTGTGGGAGAAGTGGAATCGGCACCGGAAAGGGTGTTGCAATCTGCTGTGTTAATGGTCAATGGTCTGGAAATCAGTATACGAAGCTGGGGGTCGTCTACCAGTGACTTCCAAACTTTTCTGATCGTGACACACGGTAAGAAATCATTTCGCATCAACATAGCTTCGTAAAATACCATCCTGACGTGCATAATGCTTTTTATTCCACTCTATTCCTGTCTTTAAATGCTGGTCAGATCCCCTTAAATTGATTTCCTGACTGAGTCTCCACTGAGAAAGTAGGATAGTGTTTCCCACTGTCCTAGATTATCCCCATTTTTTTTTCAGCTGACAAAGATGATGAAGGAAGGAAGGGTTGGCACCCAGACCACAGCCCCCAGTGATATTTCTCCACAACGTTATGCCGCCTCTAGGGATTCACTGCCAGTTCTGATTTCAAGAAGAGGAACTGGGCTCTGAGAGGTGAAAACACTTGACCAAGGTCACACAGCTTGTATGCAGCAGTGCCAGTTTCTGCCTCACTCCTAAAGTGAAATCCCTAAACGCTCCAAAGTTCACTGCTATTGAGTATAATTTAATTCAGGCTTTTCTCCATTTTTGCCAATAAGATTGAGCTGCATGGATCAACTGGTTTTTTACACTGTATGTGTAAGTTAATGACACTCCAGAGCTCAGGTTTTAAAATGCAAGTCTTCACATGGAACGAAATGAACTTGAGATGGCAATATTTACACCACAAAAATGGGTACATGCTACAAGTCAGGATTTTTGTTTGTTTGTTTTTTTCCTGAAGAGCCAGTTGTTACGCATTTACCAGCAGAGCACCGGCTGATGGGTCAGAGGAGGAGAGAGCAAGACTAGATTATCTGAACAGGTGAGAAAACACTATATTAATTTTCACCTTCATCATTGTCATACTCATAATCACAGATATTTTTGAGCATTTACTATGTGCCAGGTGCCATTCTAAGGCTGTGCATGTACCAATTCATTTTATTCTCACACAAAAACAACCTCTCTGAGATATGGACTATTGTCAGCCCATTTTAGGGAAGGAGACCCAGAGTATGACCTTCCTGGATTAGGAAGGTGGATGATTATTTAAAAATAGATTATTTGTCTGGATTTGGTTGCATTACATTCTGACAGGGCATTTGGCATGACTCAAAGACAGGAAAGAGTTATCCATGGAGTTCAAATCCCTCTCTCTCCCAAGCACACCCCACAGCAGGAAAGGGACAGAGCCTGCTTTATTTCTGTGACCCTGTGTCAGGCATTAGGCCCATGCACAAATATCCCTTTTCCTCTCTCACAGACATACAGAAAGATTGCCACCCTCCTTTGAAGTTAGGCGTGGTCATGTGACCTGTTTGGGTCAATGAATGTGAGCGGAAGTGATGTATTACTGTATCCAGGTAGGAGCTTTACGAGTCATGCAACTTTGCCCTTTTCTCTTTCCCAGTGCCAGAAATTGGCAACACTCCCATAGATGCTCTTCCATCTGCCTGGGACACAAGGATAAGTGGGGCAGAGCCCTTAGCTGACCCACAATAGACCTATAACACTGGTGAGTGATAAACCTTCGTTGCATTAGGCCACTGAAATCCTGGAGTTGTTTGTTACTGCAGCATAACCTGGCCTATCCTGACTGACACAGTGGCCAGCTCTCAGCAGAACCTGAAATGTGGAGGTCTCAACAAAATGAATGAATTAATGAACAGGGCTATACATTTTCCCCAGGGCCCGAGGTAGAGAAAACAGCTGTGTCTCTAGATTGTTCTCTCACATACACTTGTAACCAGGCTGGGGTAAAAAAAGTCAGGTTCTGACCTTTATTTCCTATGGTCACAGCTCATGCTGACCCTGACCTCTCTGCCCCACTGGTCAGCACTGGGGGCTCTTGGGGAGGGCAAGGAATGAGGAGCTACAGAGACAGGGTCATGAGATGCAGGGAGAGCCTGGAAGATGGAGACAAGGAGCGGGAATTAGAAATAGGGGAGCAGGAACAGGAGGTGGGGGGAGAACCAGAGAGGTCAGAGCAGAGATGGGAGACAGATGTGGAGACAAGACAGATACCCTGAGTGGGAAACCAAGACAATGGGAGACTGGGAGGCAGAAAGGGAAGGGAGGGTGGAAAACAGAAAGAGACCAGGAGACAGATGAGATGATGAAGAGCTGAGGCAAACAGATACAGGGACAATGACAGAGAGGTAGAAATGTGGGGCCGAGGTCTGGAACTGGGAGAGAAAGATGGAGGGTCACGGAAAATCGGGATGCAGAGACACAAAGAAGGTCCTCCAAGGAGCCAGAGACAGGGTGGGGGCTGGGTGCCCCTAGTTGAAGCTCTGGGAGTCTTTGCTAGTGGTGGAGTCCGGAGCAGTGCTGGAGGCTGGGCCAGTACTCGAGGCTTGGCCTCTGCTGGACCCCAGGCCTCTGCTTGATTCTGACTCAGTGCCTCTGCTCTGCACATCCCCTAGGCTTCCGTGGCCTCTGCTGGACCCCAAGTATCCAGTGGACCCCAGGTAGCTGCTAGAGCTGGGGGGTCTGAAGGTCACACGGCCCCCAGTTGAGGCCTGGCTGCCACTGGTGGAGCCATAGGTTACATGGCCTCCACTGGGCATCAGGATGCCACCAGTCCCGTGGCTCAGGATAGACCCGCGGACATTACTAAGGCTCCTGTTGGTCACTGGGGGTGTGCTTGAGCTGGTTTTCTGGATACCGGCGACGGTTATGTTCGAGCTGCTGTCAACCCTCTTCACGACCTCAACCGGCTCCTTCAGGTGCTGCTCCCGAGCTTGCTCCCGCGCCTCTAGCTGCAGAGGGAGGCAGGTTAGGGCCCCAGGTGCAGGGGGACGGGGGGGGGGTGGCTTAGGGCCCCAGAGAAGGGCTGACGTCCTGCCCACCCCTGCAGGCTCCCTTTCTCAATTCTCACCAACTTCCTCACTTGGCTCAGCAGCTCCTCCTTGCTCAGAGGATAGTCTTCCTTGGCCTCAAAGCCTGGGGGTTCCTCCCTAAAGTGTGGGGAAGACAGGAAGGGGCTACATTCTTGGCCCACTAAAGGCTGATGGCTCCTCATTGGTGTCCCCAGAGACCCTTAGCCATGCTCTGGCCAGCCGGAGAACCTTTTCCCCTCTGATCTACCAAAGGTCCATCATCCCAGGCTGTCCCCAGCAGCCCCTACTCCTCTGGTTCCCCCAAAGCACCCACTTCATCTTCTACTGCCCCCCTGAGCCACACCTGCCCTCAGGTCTCCAAGAGACCCCAACACCTCCATCCCGTTTGTGCCCTTCCTCCTCCCTCTTGCCCTGTGCCTCACAGATTGTCAGGGAGCTGAGGTGGGGCCATCTTCTTAGGAAGATCCTCAGGGTTCTGGCCCAGCACCAGGAGGGCGGTGTCAGCCAAACTGGAGGAGGTGTTGTTCTGGAATGGGATAAGCCAGGGGTCAGCTCAGGCCCATCCCTGTGGCCTGGCCTCCAACGCTCGGGCTCCCTGTCCCACCTACTCCCCCTGCATCCCCACCTGGACGGCTAGGAAGGCCTGCACGGTTAGGAGCTCCACAAGCCGCTTCTCAATGAGGCCCAGGAAGAGGCCTATGTCTCTGTCCCGCATTTGGGTCTTGATCCCCAGGAGGTCATTGATGATGGTGCTATCACACTGGGCCTTGGTGAAGAGCTGCTGGATATCTGGGGGAGTAGGGGGGGGTGGGAGGCAAGGTGTCATAGATCCGGTGCCCACTGGGGGCCAGCCCTCTCTTCCCCTCAAGTCCCCACTGCCCCGTTTTATAGAGAGAGCAAGCAAGGCTCCAAGATGGAGAGGGACTTGCACAAGCACAGACAGCCAGGCAGTGAGCGCGCATTGCTGTGCACCTGGTACTGGGCTCACAACCGAGGAAAGCAAACAATGAGGGCGTTGAAGGAAAACCTAAAGGCACCTCCTCCAAAAGACTTTCTCACACAGCTCAATTAGAAGCACCCAACTTCCATCCGAGTCCACAGCTCAGCAGCTCAGAGAAACACGTGTGCTCCATCAGAGGCCGGAGGATGTTCATGGAAGCAACAAGGCTGCTTTCTTTTTGTTGCTGTTATTTTGTTTTGTTTTTAATATCGGATCCCAGGTGCACATGACTAGATTAATCACTGTCTTTGGTTGAGCCACGGGTCATTGTCACGACCCACTCTCACAACTGGCTCGTTTGTATTTAGTTACCTGCTTATTTTTAATGAAAAACAATAACAATGATTGTTTCATCATGACCTTGACGGAAACCTGCGCCCAACAACACGGCATTCCCACCAGCCATCCCTGTGCCTCCTCCACCCGCGCTGCAGACTCATGTCTCTACAGCTTCCTCCCGGGGTCCCTCCTTGAACATCTCCCCAGGCCACTCACACTGAGCTCAAGGTCATCCCCCAAACCCACTCCTCCCAGGTTCCCCATCTCCTCCTCAGGGAGGGGCCTCACCCTCACCAGGCCAGATGTGGGTGCACCTCGTTCCTCACAGCCCCACACCCGTACTCTGACCCTTCATCTCCATCCTCCACTCCCCAATGTCCCTGTCCACCACGCTGTCCTGCTTACAACCCTCCCGAGGCTCCCCAGCACCTCCAGGAAAAGGCCCCAGGGCCTCCGCCTGGCATCTGGGATCTGGCCCTCTTCAGCTCCCACCCTCAGCCTTGCATTCCCCTCTCTGCACAAGGAACCCCCTCCAGGCCCCACCTGTGAGACCATCCTCCCTCCCAACTTTTCACTTAAATATTCATCCTTCAAGAGCAGCATCAAGTATTACTACTTCCAGGGCCGGCC